TTTCATTCTTTATTTCACCAATTTATATATATTTTCAAACTAATAATTTAAATAATTTTTTTATTTCCAAAACTTATTTTGAATTACATAATTATTTTTAGAACATAAAAAATATAAAATAGAATCAAACAAGTCCTTGAATTTTTGGGCAAGCTGCCACGCTCAACTCAGATAAATTTAGTTTGTCTCCAACACGCAACGTCGGATGAATTTGAAAGACGAGTGAAGTGTGGGGAAAATCTCTTGTCCATAAGGCAAACTTACAATAGATCCGTGAGAAATGTTGGCATTTATTTACTTGAAATTTAGTCCTCAGAATGTGACCCCAAAAAGGTCGTAGATTAAATCAAAGGAGACTGTGACGAGCCCAATCAATTGGACCAAGGCTAACTGATAATCTGGCCCAGTGGTGTGACTGGCCCAATATAATGGACCTGATACTGTTAGCTTCGGCCCAATCCCTGCACGCAAGATTTGGTCCTAAATGCGAGAGTAAATTGGCTGCAAATTGATATTTGATGCAGCTGAAAATGAGAAAGCGGAAGGTTGGTGATTGGTTGACTGGCTGAGTGATCTGGTTCTTGGACATGTTTTATGAAAAGGTCATAAAGAGAATATCATTGTGTTGGTTTTGATAATCCATGCTTTAACCAAAGCAATGTGGCGGGGTTAATTCTTGGTCGATATGTGATTTTGACCAAAGCTAATACGGTACCGAATTCAGGCTAAATTATTTAGGATAAGTCTGGATGTATCTAACAAGTAACATTTTTTTTTAATCATTAAGTGTTGATAAAGTGCAACAACAAACTAGAAATCATGAAAAGTTTTTGGGATTACGTTTTGTCTCTCTCCTTCTCTTTTCGTACATACGTGTATTCTCTTTTAAGAGAAAACTTATATATTTGTTGGTTAAAAAAAACAGAGAGAGAAAACTTCTATATTCAATTTGTATATTCAAGGTGTTTATTTTTAATCACATCAAGACAATGTAATTTTTTTATTAATTATTTATTATATAACAAACTCTTATTATTAATAATATAACATATTAAAATTTACCTATTTTAATTCGAATGAATTAAAAAATATATTAAATATATAAAGATGAGTATATAAATCTTGCCTTAAAAGTAATCATATTGGAGCACAGTCAAAATGTAATCACAACTTTTGATAAAAAATTGAGGCTCTGAGCATTAATTCGCCATCTTGTAAATTTTATCAATTTATTGTGTTCATTTGGGAATTTGCATGTGCGGATGAGTTTGCTGTGACCATTTACTCTCTTTTCAATTTCTATTTGAACAAGTGATGTTTTAATTTGATTTGCAGGGCAACAGAAGGTTATACGCTTGAGTAGCTAGAAAAATGTTTGTTTCGAGGAGGGAAACATTTATGCTGTGTATTAAATATTAAATAGTAGCCTAAAGTTATGAATATGATTTAATCTACATTTAAATAAATAATTGAAAAGTTATGTTATATGATTTAAAAAATGAATTCAGTTTGGATTCTCCTAGGTGAAACAAATTTTCATAATCTTTTTTATTAAAAACAATTGACATGTCCAATTCAATTTAGATTTTTTTATTAGAAATAAATTGCTTTCAGCTCTCTATCAAAGAAGATTTAAAATTATTTTATCATGCATTTTATTTCTTCAAATCAAAATACAAACCTTAAATAAATAAATTTAAAATTATAGGTAACCAGATTACTTAGATCACATTGAAGTTATTCATTCCATCAAGAAGATAACATAACATTGTTAATTGGGAGGATTATTGGAATTCCTTCCAACGCATTTAAAACAAGAGAAAAATAATGTAATGAATACAATACAATTAAACCAATGAAAATAATGTTTCCCTTGTAAGACATGGTTTCCAAAGCTTGAAAAATATGCATACATTTTGGCCAACAAGTATGTTTGAAAATAGGCATTAAGTAGCTATCATGTACCTAATATAATTTTCTACAGCAATTTGCCTTTTTTCCTCCGAGTCATTTTCATTTTGAAGAAGCTTGTAAAATTATCTACCCCATTCCCTTCCTGATTGAAAGCTGCTTCACAACCTGGGCATCCAAACACAGCTCAACTGCAATATGTTGGTATTCATTATTCTCGCCATTATTGACAATTCAGAAAAAAATATAATTAATTAAGAATCTTCATATCCCCACATTTTTAGGATCATGAAATTATTGTGCAAATTAAATAATTAATAGAATGGTCTACTTCTGCGCCTTGTAAGATATTATTCTACTTCAAAGCCTACTCAAACATTGATTGTTACATTTCATGAGCGTATGGGTTTGATCAGGAATAATCAATTATTGTTTGATTACATATCATGTCACTGTTCTGGAGTCCTGACCATTTGAGGTGGAATTTTTCAAATTGAAGAATAATTCCAAGGTTGATATTTTCTTTTTTCAGTTTCTTCAATTTTGTAAAATTAAATTTAAAGGTTTTGATCCTTTCATACAAGCTTCCTATGGCTGCTATTGTGCTACAAGTGTATGGACTATGGATAGAGTTTTTTTGAGCATAATAGAGTTCTTAAAATCTAACTTACTTACATTTTATTAAATACAAAAATAAAGGAAATTTCTATGTCTTTTGGAAAGTGATACTAAAGTCTTAAAAAATAAAATTAATGACAGTTAGTTTCTTAATAATTTCTTTAAATATCAATTTGGATAGCCGTGAATAAAAATTATATCTACAAACTGATAGTTATATTTAAAACTTAAATATCTTATTTATAATTAAAATTTTTAAATTTGTAAGTATTTAAATTGATTTATTTTTTAAAAAATTATTGAGAATTTAATTGTCATTATATTAATCAATTTATTTTATAATGAATAATTAATAAACATAACTCACGTGCCCATGTGCTAAAGCAATGTTTGAACTTTGAATTTCATGTTTATAAGGAAATGGCATTGCTAATAGGACAATTAACCACCAGCAAAATTTGTTTTATTTTAAAGACAATAGGAATTAAGCATAGGCAAGTTTGCATGGGAATGAGTTTGGCGTTTGAGATTTTGATATTTTTTGTTTAGAAAATTTGATAACACCTCATATGATGGATTTAATTTGATTTTATGCTCATTGGGTTGCTTCGTCTTCGTACGTTGTTTGGCATATGCACGGGACAGCCTCCGAGTGAAGGGTGTCGGTGGTCGCCCTGCTTCACAAGAATCTCGATGTCATCTTTCAAGGCTCCGTTTTAATTCATTGATGGCCCTTGAAAGTTGAAACCTATGCTCCTCTGTCTGAAAAGGAAGGGGAAAAAAATGCTTTCTGTTGGAGGGGGGAAAAAAAGAGAAAGGCTTTCTAATTTTTATCAATTTGTTCTAAATTTTATTTCATTTGTATAATAATTTCTTTCTTTTACCAGATAGACTGCAATTTATTTTCATTGCATGGTTTCTAAATAGTTTGAGGTGTGCATACACGGTTTTAGAAATAGAGTGACTTTTTTTTTTTTGGCGTAGATTTTAATTTCATATTGGCGATCATTTCTTGTGTTATTTACAGGCAGAGATTTGGGGGTGATGCATCCTGTTACAAGAATATTTAAAAATTACTTTATTTTTTTTGGTTAAAAATGCTAAAATTAATTTGAACCCTCGCTAAACGCAGTTTTGCATTTTTATCTTTCGTTTCAGTGGCGTCCAACAGGGAGGATAAATCCAATTTACAGAACAGTAGCTCGTAAACCAAAGTGTAAAATATATTTCCTTTAATCTATTTATAAATTATTATATTAACCTTATCAATACCAATATAATAAAAATATAAAAATAAATTTAATAAAATTATAAATATAATTTTTAAAAATAAATAAATTATATAATATTTTTTTATTTTCCTTGAGGGTATTTTAAACATTTTATTTAAAATAAAATGTCACTATTAATTTAATAATTTATAAAATAGATCACTTTATTTCTTTAAAAAATGACCAATAGAATAAATTCAAGAAGGTAATTTTTATGCAGACAAAGCTGCGAAATGGCGCCTGAGAATATTCGAAGTGCAGTAAAAAGTATAGTCAAATTTTAGCCAAAAAAATAATAATAAAGAGTGTATTCAAGTGAACAACAATTTATGGATTTCAAATGGAAAATGTCATCTCAATTAATAGAAAAACAAAAAAGCAATTTTCCCCCGCCCAAATCGTGTTCATTAAATATTGCTATGGCAAAAGCAAAAGTCAAAGAGGCAATGGGAAAGTGAAAATAAAGGAGCAAAAACACGTTCGCCAGGACAAAAGTGCAAATTGTAGGGGCCCACACCCAAGTAGACTTTTCACCCTTCAACCAAAACCGCAAATAAATTATTTATAAAATATATAATAGAAATATTGTGTAATATTTAAGAAGGTCTAGGGTTTTTCTAGAAAACAGTTGAAAAAGGGTAACAGCAGTGGCAAAGCTAGAATGCAATATAATTTGATTTAAAAAATTACTCATTTCTTAAAAAGTAATAAACACTAAAACTAAATTTGTAATGATATAATGAATTGATCGCCACTTTTTTCGTAAAAACAAATTATATTGAATAGAATAATATAATCTTTCATGTAAATATTATTATTTATATCTTATATTTTAGTAGTTTTATTTTGTTCAATTATGTAAGGTTTATTGGTGAAAATTTTATTTATTTGTGGATTTAATGTATTTTTTATTTAAATAATTTTTTAGAGTTATGTATGGATTTATATATTTAATTTAACTTAATTAAATTATTTTAATTATCTTCAGTTGACTCTAATTCAACAATATCTGCACGGCTGAACGTTGAATCATGATCTCCGCCATCAACGTGGTTGTACTAACGTTGGTATAGAGTAATTTAGTCCCAAATAAAACACTGTATGTGACGTGTAAAGCGCAAGGCTACTACACGTGTCGAGCCCGCTAACTTATAATGGTCTTGGCCCTACGATACCAAAACTCTCTGCACTCGCGTCCCAAGCGTCTTCCTTTCTCTGTTGAGAGTTGGTAAGACATACGCACTCTCCTCCCTCAGCTTATGTTTCACAGAAAACTTGAGAGAGAGACTCCTACACAGACGTTCAATCCACCAAGCATGCACCTCTTAATCCCCTCTTCATATTACAATTTTACCCCCTCCTCCTCCTCGTTCTCTGTTTCGCATGTTCTCACCCATCCGCCTCGCTCACCTTTCTCCCCACCTGTGAGCTCGCCTGTTTATGGCTATCTCCGATGTCGACGCCGTCATCGAGTTCTTGAGGATCAATGGATTCTCAGAGGCTGAGTTTGCCCTCAAGCAGGACGTAGTCGAGAAAGCTGATCTGAGATCCTTTGACTACGAGAAATTCTTCTTCCCTATGGTTCCTCCGCTGCCGCCGGTCAGGGTCCGGTCGTTTAACCGGCTGTCCCCCACTGATTGCTCCTCGGAAGATGAGTTTGTGAGCTTGAGTTCTTCTACTTCTGATGTTTGTTCTTCTGGTATTCACTGTGCTCTGTGCTTCCAGTGATGAGATCTCTCTGTTCATAGCTTCTTTAAAGTTCTGATCTTTCAACATTCTGGTTTGATCCTCCACATCAGATGAATGGTTATCGTTCATCAGATTTCAATCTTTTTTTCAATTTCACTCTGTTGTTCATCATGTTGTAGTTTACGGCCTTGTTCCGTCGTTGAGATTACAAATAATATTGAGTTCTCGTAATTATCATTTAATCCATTCTTTTTTGGGAAAATCTATTTTTACTTGGCTCAATTTAGCTTCTTTTTTCTTAGTGAATCACTGACGCATTAGAGCCTGCTTAAAGCTTCTTGTTATTGCAGAATTCGTCAATCCATATGGAATCCGTTCCTCATCTCGGAATGATTCTGAATCTTCATCTGATAGACAATCTCAATTTGGAACGGCACGAGATCACCATGAATTCGATATGCAAAATGAATCGTATTGGTGTAACGAGAAAGATGATGACAATTTCATGACTCCTAGCTTTGAAGGGCCAGATTTTTTTGGCTCTCCGACTGAGGACAAGTTCATAACCACATCAGAAATGGACAATCAACACGCGAATCTTCTGAGTCTTAGTTACATCTCTGAAGGACTTCAATCAGAGCAAAATGGTGATTGTATAGACAAGACTTGCCTTCCTAATAATCTCTTTGAAAGGGATCGAAGTGTTTCCTATTCTAAAGACCATTGTAGCGTGGGTGAGGAAGATCAGCTTGAATCAGGATTATTGGAAAAGGATATTCATCTGAATGCTATGAACCAAACGTTTGACTTTTACATAGGCAATAAAGATGCTTGGAAGGGGAACAAAGATTCTTATGACCTGACAATCGAAGTTGCTGAAATTAACAGCTTGGAAGCTCGAGACGATAGAGTTTTAACTGAAGAATATCTCGAATCAGATGGTGCTGCAGATGAAGCGGATATCACTGATGATGAACTGATCAAATACATTCCTGAGGATGACTATGAAGTATTTGAGCTAAGAATTATTCATAGAAAAAACAGGTTTGTTTCAATTAGTCTTCCATTCTCAGCTTCCATTTCCATTAAATTGATTCTGAATGCTTGAATCGTCCACCACTTCGATAGTTTTTTTCATTTCTGTTCATGTTGGTTTTGACTCAGAACATCTATTTCTTTGTGGAATTTTATATAATGACTATGAGGTTTCGATTATTATGATGTTAAGGACAAGTATAGATAATCTTACTTACACTTGCACATTATGCCATGGACAGGACTGGATTTGAAGAAAGCAAGGATCTTCCCATTGTACTGAATACAGTCATAGCTGGCAGATACTACATTACAGCTTATCTTGGTTCAGCAGCCTTCAGTAATGTTGTTCAGGCACATGATCTTCACATGGGAGTAGATGTTTGCTTGAAGATCATAAAAAATGATAAAGACTTCTTTGATCAAAGCTTAGATGAAATCAAACTTCTTAAACTTATCAATAAGCACGACCCAGCTGATCGATTCCATGTACTGCGTCTTTATGACTACTTCTATCACCAGGTATGCCTCAATGGAAGAATTTGCAGCTGCAAAATGCAACTCTGTATAGTTTGAACTTTTCAATTGCTAACCTTAGATGAAAACCTCACAGGAACATCTGTTCATTGTTACTGAGCTTCTGCGAGCAAACTTATATGAATTTCAGAAATTCAACCAAGAATCTGGTGATGAAGCATATTTTACAATGAGCAGGTTGCAGGTTTGTTCCAAAAAGAATATTAACTTGTTTTTTAATTAATTGTTTAGCTAGATAAAGCTGCGGAAACATGATGATAATGCGGATGTACTGAACAGTTGTTCCTTTTTGCAGTACATTACTCACCAGTGCTTGGAGGCATTGCAATACTTGCATAACTTGGGAATCATTCACTGTGACCTGAAGCCAGAAAATATTCTGATAAAAAGTTACAGAAGATGTGAGATCAAGGTCATTGATCTGGGAAGCAGTTGCTTTCACGCTGACAACTTGTGTCTATACGTGCAATCACGATCCTACAGGGCTCCTGAAGTGATGCTAGGCCTCCAATATGATGAAAAGATTGATATATGGTCCCTTGGCTGCATCTTAGCTGAACTTTGCTCTGGTGAAGTATGTTCTAACATTGCTTGCATTTGAGTGTAAGTGAAGCTTATCTTTCTCCGGGACTAACATTTGCATGGCGCCATTTTGATGCGGTGTTATCTGCAGGTTCTCTTTCCAAACGACGCAGTTGTCATGATTCTAGCACGAATGATTGGAATGCTTGGTCCTATTGATCTTGAGATGTTGGTCAAAGGACAGGAAACTCACAAGTACTTCACCAAGGAATTTGATATTTATTATGTCAATGAGGTTTGTTTTCTGATTCTTCTTTTCTCTCCATCTTCTTAAATGTACTCTATACAGTCACTTCTATGATTGTAAGGAATTTGGATTGTGAGCAGGAGACAGATAAAGTTGAGCATATAATTCCAGAAGAGTCATCATTGGAGCAGCACTTGCAGGTTACAGATGCTTTGTTCATAGACTTTGTAAGATACTTGCTTAGCATAAACCCTAAAACAAGACCTACTGCAGCACAGGCGTTAAGACACCCATGGCTTTCCTATGCCTATAAGTCCAAGGACAAGAATGTTCATTAACTTAATTCTGATGGAGTTGCATTTATTAGAGCTTGCAATCACAATTTTGGCTTTTGTTTTGTATTCAACAGCAACTGGATTCACTTTTTCCAGTTGCATGCTTGTTCTTGTTCTTCTTGTTGATATCAACATTGTGTTCTTTTGCACAGAAGTTATGCATATCATGCCTTGCATGGAGGTGAGGTTTGAGCATCATTAAGATTACATTTTCGTTGAACCCTTTCGATTTTGTACCATTTTCATTAATTTACGTATTTGAGTTTGAGGTGATATTTATGTGTGAAAATTACTTATATTCCTTTCCATAAGACATTGTTTGTCACTATTTTGAGAAGGTTTTTTTTTTTTTTTTTGAAATGAGTCACAGATGTTTTATTAAATTTTGCAATATGTTTTGTATTTGGAAACAATGAGTAAGGTTTTATAAATAGAATCAAAGGAAACGATCAGCAAAGGAGAAAAGATTGATTCTTTTTTTTTTTTGTGGCTGGAAGAAAGAATTATGCTAGTCGATCGGAGCGGAAATTTAATTTTTCTTGGATAGCAATTACTTTTTGGTTGAAAAAATCAACATGGTATTGCAGATTTGGACTGTCCAATAAGCTTGGGCCACAATTATGGGCGTAAAAGTATACTTATTTATCATTTGGTTTTCGTGATGAATGACATTTGATATCCTTTTAAAAGATTAGACATTTTTAGCACATATATTTATAGCTATTTTTTAAAGACTTTTTTGAGCAATATTTTTTTAAAGATTGACAAATATGTCATACTATGTTAATATGGCAACCCAACGTCTTCCTTCCTAATTTTTCCATATCGCATGAAATTTAAGTATTGAGTGATAATGTTTATAACTTATCAGTAAATTTAGTATAATTTTTTTTGGCATATTGATGTCAATATAAATATGTTTACCAAAAAATAAATATGAATTATAAAATCTACAAATAATTTACTCATTTCTCAAGCTCAGATTAATATGCGAATAAACTTATTTATTAAAATATAATAAGTCTTATTATTAGTGCAACTTATTCTTTTAAACACCGGATAATGCATAGAGAAAAGTATATGATTTATTATAACATGATTAATACATAAATGTTCAGTAATATTATGACAAATATATATATATATTTATATTCTTTACCAGCATATATTTTGTTATTGTTTTTCAATCGATACTAGGAACAAAAGGCACCATATGTATTCTGTGGCTAAGTAAACAATGCTATCTTTTTAATCTTAACAATCGAAATTTTTATGATTAATTTTTTTAAAAAAAAATAATAAAATAAAAAGATGAAGAAGACCCACTTGCCAATCCTTTTCTTGGCAGCTAGCAAGTGGCCGTGCGCCTGCGCGTGAGTCCCCTGCTTGCATTTAATAAAGACGCTTCTTTAACTCCTGACTCTGCCTCTTCTCATTGGCTCATTCTTTTTCTTTCCCTCTTTCCCTTTTCTTATTTTCCTTTCCCTGCCTTCTAATTGTTGTAATCTCCTTTGGAGAAAATTACATCCAAGACTCAAATTAACGAAAACCACATTTTAAACCCTATAATTACCGAACCAAATAAAACTTTATTTGTCTGACAATTACTTTTAGGAAAATACAACTGTTCCTCTCATACTGTGTTTTAGTATTAATCCTCATTTTTTTTTTGGTTGCACCTAGTCCTTAAAGTTTTTCTTATCCACAATGTTAATCTATACAATATATTTTTAAATATGATCATTAGAACTTAATAATTTCTAACATGTATATAAATTCTGTTACTTCTCGTGTTGAGTATAGGGCAAAATGACACAAGCATAACATTAAATTAGAATCCTTAAATATGAAAAAAAAAATAAAGCTTTAGAAAAAAGAAGCTAAGACATGACAATTAAGATAGAAAGGTTAAAAGATTAGTAGCCATTTTGCTTATATAATGTCAAACTCATCATAATTTCACCTATTCAGTGATATAGTTAACATAATTATACATACATTAACAGATTTAACTTTATTGGTGATGATAAGAATTAACATTATAGATAGATAAACTTAAGAGACTAGGAGTAATGAAAAAAGTGTAAGAACTAATATCAAAATGTGTTAAAAATACAGGGATTAATATTTGTATTTTTGATAATATTTTAAAAAGTTATAACAAATGTATGAAAATTAATAATAATTTGTAATCATAGGATAATTGTAATTTTTAGTATAAAGATTCAAGACCCTTTAAAATTGAAGGTAAAATTGGGATTCAAAATAATAAAAATGTTAGAACTTTCTTTTCCTTTTAGATAGTATATATGCAACTAAAATCAAGTATTTTCTTTGGTCTCATTTATAAGGTACATTTTAAAAATTTTATTTGATTTCATTTGTAAGTTACGGTATGATTTTTTAGATAATTTTTAAAAAGTATTTTTAAAATTATCCATTATAAAAAAAAGTAAAATGATGTTATTTTTTAATTTGTTATATAATATTTCTAAAAGCTTAATAAATGATAGAGCACATGGCGTCTTGCAATCCATGTAGCCGACCCCACCTAGTGGGATAAAGGCTTGTTGTTGTTGTTGTATATAGGGATACATTTGAAATTTTATACATTTTATTTTTTTTATTTTGTTTGTATTAGTATTGATGAAATTAATAAAAATAATTTATAAAAAAGATTGAAAGAGTATTTGATCAATCGCAGTCGATATTAGTAAAGTGCTATGATGGTTTAAGCATTGGGTTTTGGATTAAACCATGCAAATGTAGGAAATGTCAAGAGTTATTTTTAAATGGATCTAACAATAATAAAATTGAGAATTTAATATTTTTATATTTGAATATAGTTATTTTTGTCCCAAGTGGGTATTTAGATGTAATATTTCCGGGGCTCCCCCTCACCCTCGCTCACGGCACGTCAACTACACTCGCCTCCCTTGAAGCAGACCAATTTCTTAGAAGGGGAAACTGATAATAACAAATGCATATTTCCCAGTTGACGCCGGGCAGGCAAGAAGACACGTTGCCTCTTTGAGTGAGCGGACCTTAGGACTTTCAGGAGTGTCATGAGGAGGAGATTGGAATTCATATGGCTGAGTTGACTCAGACCGAGGTTTTCTCTCCCAGAACTCAGCAAGCATGGAGGGCACTCTTGTGCTGGCTTGCCTTCTTCTTCCAGATCTTCTTTCAGATTATTAGAGCCCTCGCTCACTACCCTTTACTCTCTTTTTCGTCTTCTTCATCTTCTTCCCCTTCCTTCAAGCCTTTACCCTCAGTTGAGCTTCAGGAGCAGCATGATTTGCCGTCGGATTCCGCCCTTGATATCGCGACAACTGATTATTCCAGCACTGACGATCAACCCCTTCCAAAACTCACGGTACCGGTGTTTTCAGCTTGTGTTTGCATGGTTGGGATTCTGTAGTGTGTTTCGGTTTAAAGGTCTATGTTCACGACGGCTAGTGTTCAATTTATGCTGTGAATATTTGAAATGGATATGCTATGGCTTTTTTGACTTTTTAGTCAGGTATCTACGTTATAGAGTTGAAGTTTTTATGTTTTTGCTCTGCCAATTGTAAGATTACTTCATGACTTATCAAGACGCTCGGCGTTTTCTAAATGGATTTCTTTTTTTCATTGGAAAATTATCTTGTGTCATGATAGTTGACTTAGAAATGTTTTTATCAACATGAATCGTGTGAGAGGGAGGAAAATTATTAGTTGGAAGAAACTGAGAAAATTTTATTTGGACTGTGTAAGGAAAACTACCTTGGCTTTTGTGTGAGTAGGGCAAAAAATCATGCTGAACCACGCAGATCAAAGGAAATTCCCTGGGATTGAGTATGGTGTTCAAATTGGGCAAATCAAGAAATGGATTAATCTTGAACTTTTTAGCATTTGCAGAGACCACGATGAATGACTATCAGTCATAGTTTATAAAAACCCGTAAGCATTTTACATGGATGTCTCTGGTTTGGTAGTACAAATAGAACATTAGAATACAGTCACCATGCCTTTAACTTCCCCAATTCATGACTTTTATAACTTTCATATTCTTTTGCCTTGGGTTGTAGTATAGTTCACACTGTGTTTCAGACACTTCTGATGCCGCTCACAGTGAGAGAAAGAAATGGCGTCAGTATAGTTTGCCTACCTGGTTTGCTACTTTTACTTTGTTTTTGTTTTCATGTGATACAAATTTCTGCATGTCATGGTGTTGATTTCGAAAGGACATCCATGCCATAAAATAAATTGACAAGGTCCTGTTGACTTGTGCAATAAGGAAAGTAGTAATTAAACTACCTAGTTAAGGGGTCTTGGAAGTACATGAAATATGGAAAATGCTTTTTCTTATTTTGTACAAATTGGGGGTGCCAATCAGAATTGCTAAATACATTTCTCTTTGTTTGGCTATAATTCCTATGCTGCCCAGAGTTGAGCTTATGTCAGAAAATATAAACAGTATGTTAACATGAAGCTACAATTTCATCATGTTTTAACTTCTCACAATTGGAGAGTATTCTGATATTGTTATTGTGTTTTTTACATCACACTGGCCTGCAGTGATGTCATGTTTTCTTGTAAATTGTAGCTATTCATTTTGCGTTCTTATGACACCATACAAATATGTAGCGTGTAGCATTGTAACTTTTGTCATTGCTTCATCATAGAAATTTCTCTTTAATCATTAACTTGATTTACCCTTCTGATGAGTACCAAAATAATTGAATTGGGGTATATAAAACACAACACTTGCTAGTTGTTTCAATTCTATTTGTAGTTAAGTGATTCTTTTGGAGTAGATTTGTAATTGTGGCGGGTATCCTGTCTTCCTGTGCTGTTAATGTAGATTCTGATCTCGCTTGTGCTTTTGTAGGTAGTGCTAGACCTGGATGAAACCCTTGTATGTGCATATGAGACGTCAAGTTTGCCGTCTGCAGTTCGTGCTCAGGCAACTGAAGCTGGTTTAAATTTGTTTGAGCTGGAATGCGTTACTCCAGACAAGGTTTGTTCCTTGATAACTTGTATATAAGTCATTCTCTTGAGTTCAGATATTGTATCTTTACTTGCCCATGTTGGGTCTTAAAGGATGGAGAAGGAAAACCAAAAATCAATTATGTGACAGTCTTTGAACGCCCTGGGTTGAAAGAATTCTTAAAGCAACTTAGTGAATTTGCTGACTTGGTGCTGTTTACTGCTGGTCTTGAAGGTTGGCTTCACATTCTGGAGCTGTGCTGATGCTACTTATCTTTGCTTTCTATGAATTCTTTGCTATGTCTCTAAATGATGTGCATCTATAAATTCTCACAGGTTATGCGAGACCACTTGTTGACAAAATTGACATGGAAAACTGGTTTAGTCTGCGCCTTTACCGGCCCTCAACAATTAGCACGTAATTGCTTTTCATATTTCTCATTCAGTATTTTGTATTCACTGGACTATTCTCTCTTTCTAGCCATAAAGAGGTAACAATAAGTGAATCATTAATGCATGCAATCCTAATTCGTTCACTCATGTTGGACATTTGGATGCTGGCCCATGCCCTCATATTCTATCCGTCTACTTTGCAGCTTGAAGCGTAGATCATTAAATACTACAAATGATTGAAACCCTATCCACAAGTCCTGTTTATCAAAGGAAAATTTTCATATTTATATAAATAACTAGCTCGATTAAATTATTAACAGAAGTAGTAAAAGAATCATGCAGAAAAAAATTTCCTTCGGTTATTTCCAACTTTGTTCATTACTTCCTGTTTGCAATCAACTGCTTTAATGTTCAAGATCTTTATTCATTATCCAGTCTTCATATGTGTGTGTGTTTGTTTTATCTTATTTTGAAAACCAGACTGTATTCGAGGATGATGCACTCATTGGTCAGTTGTCTGTAATGCTGTGTGTGCTTGGTGAATGCGATATCTTCAAAGTAATCCTGAGATTTGTTTTAGTGATACAAGCGGGCCAAATGTTCATTATCCATAGGGTTTACTGCTGCTTTTTTTCTGACAAAATGATGTGAAGCTTTTGTTGGTTTTGTGACAAGTTTTCAGCTGAATCTAGATAAGATGAATTAATTTGTTTTGCTGCTTCATCTGCCATTTCGTTTGATGCGTAAACTACAGCATTTAATCATTCAACTTTGATGTCAGTCTTGAAGCTTCAGTATGATAAACTGAGTTTCTCTTATCTTAATTTGCATTTATCTTTTGTATGTTTTAGCTGCACAGTAAGGGTAATATTGAATTCTTCATTAAAAGATGATGAGTTAAAGGAAAAATTTCCTAATCATTTATATAAAATTTTCCTAATCATTTATATTTTCTTGACTTTTTTAATGATCAATCAATTTAAAGGCTGAAACCGTATTAGGAGAATTGAATAGCATGCAATTTATGAATGTTAGTTAAAAGATGCTTGAACATCCTTTGTCAAAAGAGAAAAACGTTGTAAATTCACCTTTTGGGGCACTCAAACTATTTCCACTCTGGGTTTGGTTCATTGGTAAGTACTGGTGTCATTAAGATAAACATCTTAGTTTCAAGCCTCCAATTGCGTGGGTGTTGATTTATCATTTATCATATATTTAGCTGCCTTTTGTTAAAACCCTCTCCAGCTAGCCTGGTTCTTCCCTGATGTTTAATATACAAAACTACTAGTAATCAAATAATCTAAAATCCTGTCTGGAAAATTTTGCTTTCGAGATCTATGTTTCTGAGCTTGGAGTGAAGAACTGGTAAATCCAGCACTCTTATGAGTAGTTGATGCTCACAGGGAATATCGGGAACATGTCAAAGATCTATCCTGCATATCAAATGATCTATGCCGTATTGTTATTGTTGATAATAATCCCTTCAGCTTCTTGTTACAACCACTGAATGGAATTCCTTGCATTTCATTTTCTGCTGGCCAGCCTTATGACACGCAGGTGCACAACATGCCTCCCTGTCGTATTGAGAATTCCAAGTCATCCCTTCAATTTTTATTGATCCAATCATTATCTCTCGTGTTTACTTGTCTGTGTATTGCATGTTGATCAGCTTCTGGATGTCATTCTTCCTATTCTCAAGCATCTCTCTGAGCAGAAAGATGTGAGACCTGTCCTCTACGAAAAGTTCCACATGCCTGAATGGTTTCAAAAGCAAGGCATTCCGACTTCCTGCTGGACATCTTAGGATTATAGCTGTTCGCAATCATTAAACTGTTTTTAATTCTTAGTTATATTGTTCCAGGAGTGGCCTATGATTGGTATTTGATCCACTGGTGTGTAATGCTGCATCTTGAAGCTGAAACAGCTGGCCACTCGTGTATTTATGTTACTAAGTTTCTGTTTCCCATGTAACTTTGTTTATAGGATTGCGATCTAGTGGAATACATCTTGTCACTCACTCTCTTGTAAAATAATCTCGAAAAGATGTCTTCTCGTTATCTACATTTTACTTTAATTTTCTAATGTTTCAGATAAATAAGAGGGCCATTTCTGTTTTGCAAATGGAAGAAATTTCAGCTTCTCTAAAATGGAGTTTCCCAAATCAAATGAATTTTTGTAAAACGAGAGTGTTTGGATAAATTTTTGCAAAATTATGATTTTGATTCCAGAATTGATTCCGAATGAGTATCCAAGCAGGCCCTTAAGAGTTTGTAAATATCACTGTCCCATCTCAGTGTCCAGTCTCAGTCAAGGATCTCACAGATCATCATATATTCACATGACTTACTCGGATCGTGTTGTTTTTATTATCAAATACGGTTGGAAGCTTTAGAATCGAATACCCCTCGAGGCAAACCAGGTTATGCGAATCTTGTTCGAAAACAACAATAAATTCGATGTTTATTTCTCAAAATGGGGGGAAAAAAGAAGAAAAAGAATTACTTTCTGAGTCGACTATATTCTTCTTGACCTTGTTTGGTTAAAATTTTGATTTGTTTTTAAATTTATAACAAACTTAAAAAAAAAAAAAAAAGTTGCAAATGACCCAAGTTGTCAGTCCTTTTCATGGCGGTTGGCTCCTGCAAGTGCCTCCTTGTAATCAATCAACAATGACAGTTTTGCTTTAGAGACTCCTTATTCTGTTTCTCATTGGCTCATTCTTTTTCCCTCTTTCCAATCATCACTTTGCCCTTTCTGACTAGTTGCTTTGAGCCTATTCATAAAAAGATAACATTTAATTAATATATTTAATTAAGAGTTATTTCTTATAATCACATTTACAGAAAACTATACCCGGAAGACTTAAAAACAATAAAATTTACACGAAAAACCTAAAAATTATAATTTATTAAAGAACCGACATTTGCTAGCGTAATAATTGTGTAAAAATATACATGAAATATTCTAAAATTTAATCAGGAAACAGTTACATTAGTCATTATCAAACTACTTTAGAATGAATATATTATTAATTACATTAAAGAATCCATGTATAAAATAGAAAACATGGTGGTAACCACTAATTATAATAACAAAGCAGCATCCCGTTCCAGGGGATGATGGCAATTCAACATCAAGTTTGGTAGACTGACTAAATTTAATAAGAATAAAGAAAGGTATCCAGCATGGACTGTCCCTAAAGGCATAGCCAATATCCATAGACCATAGGATCTGGTCCTCAAACTCAAAGTTCTGTGTTTATTTCTCACTTTTGATTCTGCGTTTTGCATTCTGCAACTAATACTCGCACTTATTCTCGCTGTCAAGATGACAAGATGTTCCTTTATTTATTTATTTATTTATTTTTGATAGTAGTTGTTAGCATTTTGCTAAACTTTGATGTGCGGTCTTTTAAAAGTCGCTTTACATCATGTCCTTGTGCATTTAACTTTTTGTCCCTGTTTTAAAAGGATAGAATAAAATATCATTTTGGGAATAAAAAGTAACTTATTCCAACACTTTTTTTGTTTGGAAAAAATGATGTTATACCAGAAGTATCCTCTAGCAAATTGGGTGGAGAATTTGTGTTAGCAGTAAGTTTTTATTTTTTTTAATACATGGAGATCTCTAAATTTGTGAAATTGAATGTATATAGTGTATCAAAAAGATATATCAATCTACATAATATATATTTTGTTTTTGGGTGGAGGGGTTGGGGTTACAATTAGCTGCATATCATGGAATCTACATGGATACATCACATATAAAAGCATTTTAAATGTCTATCAATGTTAAAAATATGAGAATAAAAAACATTATAAATATATATACACAACGGACTCTTCTGGTTTTAAAAAAAAAGGACAATTTGATATTTCTTTATACTGTTGAATGCAACTATTGCTGCTTAAGTGTTTAACAGCTCAAATATTTTCCCCCCCACAAAAATTGAAAATGAGTTAGATACTTGTATATAAATATTTTAAAATTATTTCTGAATAAAATCTTCTCATCAACGATAAAATTTAATCCAATATTATTTGGTAAGTCAAATTCTTAACTAATTGTAGTATAGTAACAAAATTATCGACACTCCCTCTGTTTCATTATAATTTACAACAGTATTCTTTTAGGGAAAAATTGTGTCATACTTTTCAAAATTTTAAAACAGTGTTTAAAGAGACTTTTACTATTTCACCCTTGGATTAGTTTACTATTTAGTATATAATGTTTTTAGAGACACGCATTATGTGAGAGGCAAATTTGATAAAATATATCATATTTTTTATATATTTATTAAATTTTTTTAATCGGTGTGCAAGAACTTTAAAATACAAATATAATGAAAGGAGGAGAGTGGAGGGATGGAATTGGAAGCAGAAAAGAAATGGTATATTTAAATACTAATCATATGACTTGTAAGTTGCTATAAATAAGTACGCATGGAAGGATATAATATTAACGATCAACATCTTTGTAATATTGAATGAAGATAATGATTATGCATACTTCAAATTGTATTATCACTGTTCTAAGCTTTTGAAGCACTTATGATTACACTCCCATGCTCTCCACCTTGAAAGCTTAATCCCGAGTTTTGTTTCCTCCTTTTTTTCCGGCTTCTAAATTTTTTTTTAAAACATAAATTATTATATATGATCTTGCTTTGTTATTTATCGGTTCTTTCTTCTGGCCAACTTTATTTTTGGATTCTTGCACCTTTTATTTCTAAATCTGAACCCAAGGACGAATAAAAGTTCATGCTTCATAAAACTTTTGAGCTACATCCAATAATATACGTTTGGGTTAGGTTTAGGTTTTGGTAGAAAATAACAGGAACCGTGAAAAATTATTTTGTAAAGACTCATGAATTAAAAATAATTATTTTAAAATTTTTGAAATTATTGTATAAGAAATAATTTTACAAAAAAATAAAATTGGATAATATCAATTAAGATTAAGATTATATTTAGATTCCATTTAATGATATATTATGGAAATTATATAAATAATATAGTAGAATAATGAGTTTTATTATTTGTAAATATTTTTTTGAAATAGTAAAATTATTTACTCTTGCTCATTCAAATAAGGAGAATAAAATAGGATAAATTGGCCCGCTGAAAAAAAAAATCAAAAATATGGATAAAATTTTTAAAAATTTGAGAGTATAATCAATTTATATTGATAAATAAGATATTTATCATAATATATAAAGGGTTTATTATTAAAAATTTAAAAATTTATAAGAGATTTATCATTGATGTATATTGGTATGTTATTAAGAAATATAATAAATATGTTATAATATAAAATATAATAAATATTAAATTATTTATTTAATTTAATTTTATAATATGAATTATATCTGCAATAGCCCCTAAAATTATCTCCAGTATTCTCTTTTCTTCATCCCAACAAAATACCAATAAAGTATTTGTTCTTAACGACAACGAAGGACTCGGTGAACGAAGCATGCCCATAATTTCATTTGACATCGTCCCAGAGGAGCAATCTTTACGTTAACAAAAAAATAATTGAAACAGATGCAAGGAAATAAGGAAAGGCATTATTTATGGCTATGAAAAAAAGGGAAATCAATGATTTGTTTTTTCATCATTGAGAAACAGGAAAGGGACAGGAATTCTGGTCAATTTTCACCAATAAATTTATGAAAAAGTTGTTTAAAAATACTTGATCAAATGTAACTTTCCTCCCAAGGACTTGAGAGAGATTTCAAATTGAAGTTCTTTATTGACATTAATTTAAAACTTCAAAGTATTAAATTGCCCTTTTGATTACAAAAAATTAAAATATATTTTTAGTGCTTTAACTTTATATAAGAGTTTGATTTGATCCTTTAATTTTATAAAATATGTTTTTAGTCATTTAATTTTAATATTTTTAATTTTAAATGATTATTTTTTGCTTCAATCTTGTTATTTTAAAAAATTAAACTTAATATGTCAACATTTAAGAATGTTTTATCAGTATATTTAAAAGTTTAATGTAAAAATTTGTTGGGATAAAATTAATAGTTAGAATTAAAGGATTAAAAAGATATTTTATAAAATTAAGGAACTAAAATAAAATGTTATGTAAAATTAAAAGATTAAATACAATACTTTAGCAAAAAAAAAATTGAACAAGGTCTTACGCTGTTAATAATTTGGTGACAATATGTAAAACAAAGTCCTTCAATGTCAATATGTCAAATAAGGTATAAACTTTCAGGACATGCAAAGGAAAATGCATATTCGAATAGATAGAAGCCAATTTGATTTTCTTAAAAGGTGCTTGCATAATGCAGAAAAAGGGTCGCATATGATTAAATATACTTGTATATTATTTTAAAACATGACATTAAGTTTAAATTTTTAGGATATTCAAAATACGAATTTAAATAAATGGAAGCCAATTTTTTATTTTCTTGAAGAATGTTTGTATGCTGTGGAAGAAGGATCACATATGATTTAAGATATTTGCATATTCTCTTAAAACATGACACTCAGTGTACATTTTTAAGATATCCAAAAGCGCATTTGAATAAATGGAAGCTAAATTACATTTTTCAGGATTTGCAATCTCATATTCAAATAAATTGAGAGTTAGGAGTGAAACACAATCTATGTCACCTCAAGTTTTAGGATAGTTGTACTTTATATTCTAATATGATTTTGAACCTAAGGTTAGGATATTGTATCAACATTGTGTTTGCAGAATATTATGAATATATATTCTAAAAATTTTTCTACTTTTGATTAAAATACTTACGGATATTTTAAAATTTTGCTCATTTTTTATGAAAATATCAAAGGATGTTACAAAAATATAAATAGATATTTTAAAAGTTTGCTTATTTTTTATGAAAATACCAAAGGATATTCTTAATGAGCACTAGCTATTTTTATATGTAAATATTAAACACCAACTTAAAACATAGAGAACAATAATCGAATGATAACAAATTCATTTATTATTAAACAATTACATGTTTTTACATTCTTTGATAGCATAAATTATATTACATTACAACAAGATATGATAACTCCACTTA